TCCAATACAGCGTGTAGAATGCTGACTGTAGCTTCATTGTAACCTATAATAACGCTATCTGTGCATTCAAATTCATCAACTAATGAAACCTTGCAATGTTGGTACAGAGCATTGCAGGCAAAGAGAAGAATGAATAGAAAGAAAGTGGTGGAAGCATGCAGAGGAGTGCTGCACTGTGAGACTGCACGGCCCAGTGCTTAGTGCTCTCTCTGCCTCAAGCATCGCTTACATCTGGAACACACACAGGCTGCACAAATAGCCTTCACACATGAACAAGCTCATACACATTATTACTAGATTATTCTTTTCATGGAGATTAAGGTTAATAAAACGACCGCTCCAACTCGCGCACGCGTGAACACACGCATGCATTAAAACCTACCTGTACGGCCTCTATGTGAGAGACATTGTCAAACATCATGTCGTTCACGGTCACTATCTGGTCCCCGACCCGCAGTCCTTCTCTCTCGGCTGACGAGCCCGGCTCCACAAGGGACACGTAGATCCCCACTCCGTGCTCCGACCCCCCACGGATGCTAAAGCCCAGACCCTCGTGGCTTCTGGAGCGCGTCAGGGTGACTTTGCGCACTTCTCTAAAGGGACCCTCGAGGAACGACGGGGCCATGGAAGGAGACATCTCTGCGGTGGCGCTGAAACCGTCCGGACAGCCGGATGTGAGGGGCTGCTCGTGGATGGAACTGACATATTTCTGCAGAGTTAAGTCGCCCTCGTCTCCAAAGCCCTCCGCGTTGCCGTTGCTGGGGAGCAGCTCTGTCTTCAGGTAGAGTCCCTCAGACGTGTACTGGTCGAACAGCAGCTGGTCGGACCTCGGGATGACCAGGCGCAGCATGGGCAGCAGCTGTCGTTTGCTGGCCGTGTTGAGAATCACTTTGAGAGTTTGGACCAGGTCAAAGACGTTGCGCTTGGCGTGGTACACATTGAGACAGTGGATGAACTGCGCTCTCTCCAGGTCGTTGAGCAGCAGGTTGAGAGCGTTGTGGAGCCTGCGGACGTTTGCCGAGAGCGCAGGGCCGCCTGAGCCCTCCGAGTTCACCGATGTGTTGAGCGAAACGCGCTCCAGATCAGCGCTCATCCTACAACATAACGGGGAACCAGTGCATCACAGACTAGAAGACGGACCGATCATTGGTTGAGGCGCTGTCCAAGTCAATCCTCCCGTTTGAAAGCAAAACGTGAAACACCTCACCGCGCGTCGGGCAACTTCAACAAGTGACCGGTGATCTACGCGCGTAACGGCGCTGATGTGCGTCGCACGCGGCGTGTCAGCCGGAAACAAACCGTTTCTCCAGTCGAAGCTTGCATTCGTCTTTAACTGAATAAATCATACATATTCTTTCTGTCCTTTTATTCCATGCACAACAATACCTTTACTGCGTTACCAGGACGAGCTTCAGCGATTAGAATAGTGTCCGGTAATATCTGAAACCCGGCAGAAAATCCGTGGGAGGCTCTCTTTATCCGTGCAAATCATAAAATGCAACCTTATAATAAGACCGTCTCCATGTTTACTCTGTCCACAGAGGAACACTCTAGAGTCCGTCACGTTTCTACGACAGAGCTTTCGCTGTGCGCAACTCACAGGGAGCGCTGAACATGCTTCAGACCCTCTGTGTATGGGAAATGACGCAAGTGTGTGTGTGTGTGTGTGTTGCTTGGAAACTGACATTACTCACCCTCATTTAAATGATTATTTCTGGCATTATGTCATGCCTCGTTGGGTACAAGCAGGATAAATAACACTGAAATGTCATTTCACAATTTATTGGACAAAAGTGGGTGAAATCCTGCAAACATTAACATGTGGACAACTTAAAAGCTAAGGAATGCTTGCTATGGGTCAAGTTTGGTTCAGATGAATGTAGATGCCAGTAGGTGTCTGCCCGTCAGCCTTTAAGCTGATTAATCTGCATTATAGCAAATGCCCCCCCCCCCCCAGACTCCTTGTCATAACTACAACCTCAGGCTATTTTTAAACAGCTATTTATAGGGTTGTCTTCCTCCTCATGACAGCAATGGGCTCCTTCTGTCTGCCCATCCGCGTAATCAGCGTCCCGGGAAACGCAGCTGTTTGAGGAGATGTGGCTTCAGACAGGATGCAGCACCGCTGGGCCTCCAGACATGTGCATTAGAATGTTAACAACCACTGACAGTGTTCTGAATTCACCGCTTTGAAATAAAAAATGAAAAGTATTGATTTGCAATTTAAAAAGCAGAATTTGATTTTTGATTTTTTTTTTACCAACTCGGATCCAAATTGATTGTTTGAATTATTGTTTTACGAATTGAACACATGACTGCTCTGATGTCAGCCTATCCTGTCCTGTACTGGAACAAACTGCTGTCACATCTTAAATGTTAACCAAAAGTAGCAATTATTAAATTCAGATTAAAAACATTTCTCTTTTCAGGTACCTATTGAGCTGTTGTGTTTTTACAATGTCTTTATTTTATTTTATATATTTTGTTACATTATCTTACATAGTTTATACTAGCTTATCTTTTAATTACGATTTTATGAACATCTCTTTGTATGAATGACAATTACTTCTGGAATTGTTTTATCCCCTTTTGCACCTAAAGGCTGCTTGAAATATCAGCATAAACATCATTTTCTACTTTGTCTTCAGTGTTTTGTGTTGGGCCGGTATTTGCAGAGCTTTCTGCTGCTGCTGGAAAACCAGTCGATGAGAGTGATGAGACTGAACCCAAACCACCTGAAAGATGTTGAAACCTTCTGTCAAAATGAATGGAGAATTGTGGATTTGTCACAAGTGACACTTTTTACAGTAAACAATCCATTTTTTCCATTAGGTTATATAAAAGATGTCAGCTTTAAGGTTCAGCCAAAAGCAGTGGCGATCAGAAAAGGTTCTTAAGTGTAGTCAAAGGCTGGGCAACTTTTTTACAGCAATGCGGTGCCTAGAAATGTAACTAAATGCTACATTTCAGTTTAGTTATACTCTGGGAACCGTTAGCCAGCTACCAGATCACACAATGCCGTGTTCACACCAAACGATGAAAATTGACAAAAAAGCCAAAAATGGCCTAAATACTGTAACGCTCCGTAATGGTTGAATGGAATGAAAATTGTAGGGTACGTAACAGGATGCAATGTGCACATATGAGACAAATTTCGTGATTTTCAAAACAAAGCCACGCCCTATTAAGTTCATTGGTCCATATCTTCTAAACATTTGACAAATTTCGATACGAGAAGTCCCCATGGACATTTTGTAATACACATTTCATTGTTGTGGTTCGCTATTAGGAACATGCACGGTCAGGACTATTGTGCCGGGGGGGGGGGGGGGGAGTCATATGGCAACTTTCAGCATTCTGGTGGGCACCATTTTGGCTGCTACAGTAGAGAGAACATTGCATGAATGTGAAGTATGTGCACACTATAATAACTGTTTCAGCACCTATTGCTCACATCCCACCACCAGATGGCCAATGTAAACACTTGATGATCGACTATGTGGACGTGACCCAACGAATAGGGAGGATGGGGTACATTCTGGTTGTGGTCGACAGGTTCAGCAGATGGGTCAAAGCAGTAGCAACGCCGCGACTAAACTAATCAGTAGCCAATTTATGGTTCAGACAAGTTTTTTCAAGGTTTGGTGCCATATACTATCAGCTCTGACTATGGACCACACCTTGTTGCACAAGCTTTTGAGAGAACAAATATATGGATAAAGCAGAAGTCTTATTTATTATAAAATGATTTATTATTTTATTCTTAAATCCAGCCCTTATTTTACTTGAAACAAGAGAACATTTATTTATTATTAGATTATATATAATTCCTCCAGTTCCAGTTCAACAACCAAAGAATGTGAAAGTAAAAAGTAAAAGTAACAATTTAACATGATTTATATTGAACTCCGGTTTAATCAAACAAAGGTCCTCATTCAACGTGGGAGAGGATGAGACCAATGTGGTCGTGCCAAACAAATAGAAATCAATATAACAAAACTCGGCCTGATAATTCCTACCTCTGAAAACAAATCAAACAAAATGTCTTTACATGCTTCTCTAAAGATAGCTTCACCAAATCCAATACAGAGGTGGCACCGGCCAATAATCCTCAGGAATCTAGACAAAGTTTACCTCAACTCACCTCCCGTCCTCAACCTCCCGCCACAAACTTTAACGATGTAACAACAACCGCGTGAGCTTAAACAGGAAGAGAGTGAACACCTCAGGCCTCCTTTCTATGCTCGGCCCGCTCTGCTGATTGGCCAGCTTAAAATGTGTTGGAACCAAGGAGCAGCACGACTCACCTGCACAGGTGGAAACCAATCACCTGGTTGTCACCTGAAGAGAAAACAGAGGAGGGAGAGAGAGAGAGAAAGGCAGGAGAGGAGAAAGCACACCGGCGCCTTGCCCCACGCTGACACGTAACACTTGTAACCTGAAAACATCACCTTCAATATGCCGGTTGATGCTGCGGCTCGTAGTTGCAGCTGCCACACTTGGTAAGAGTTTGATTGACAAATAATTCAACCAATCACCTGCCAGGTATTTGAAAAGGGTCCGCCCTCTTCCTAACGGTTCCCAACGATGACTTCTCAGACGGTTCTGTCGAAACCATTTGGTGCATCTGGTTATGAATAGCATTCATAAGTGATTTCATTTGCTCCTCTATGGCACTTGTTTAAGAGGCAGTGAAACAGAAATAAGTTAAAATCAGGAGTAGAAATACCAAACCTTTGTTTAGACATGGCATAGGTTACAACAGAATTTATATTTGATTATATGCATTATGTATTTTATTTTATTTTGAGAACACGACTATTTTATGCCTTCCTTAGAGATATTGTACAGAGATTAATATTTGACAGGATGAATCCTATTAACTTTGGTGAATCTCTGATTGTTCTTGTTCAGAACTAA